GGGAAAGAGAGGTGGCACTTTGTCAGATGCATTTATAGCTGCAGCAAGATACAGTTGAGCTGCAAAGAGAGTGGTAGTAAAAAATAAAGAAAATAAAGAAAAACTGAAGTAGGCACCTGCTACAGCCTACTCCAGCAATGAGAAAGCAGGAGTGAGTTAGTCTCTCTCAAGGTACTCAAAGCCACAGGACAGTGTACTTGTGGGGAATTTAGCTGCCCACACATCTTTTAACAAGCACCGCCAAACATTGGCCAAAGATGTTCACCTGTTACACAGAAACCTGCTCTAATCCAGACAGTACGAGTTCTTGGCAAATAAAGAAGAAAAATCCCCCAAACCCAGGAACTGTGTAGCTGAGAAATGAAAAGCGACATCAATGAACAAATTATCTGAATGCAACATAGTAAAGAGTTTATTTGTTTGACTTAGAAAAGGTCTCCAGCGTAGTTCACTGGACACGTATACATTAAATATACACATGCACACCAAAAGAAACCCAGAAGGCACACATTCAGCCAAGAGGCTCATTCAGGACAACTCACCATTTCATGCCAGAAAGAGCGAGCCACGAGCCCTGGCTTTGTTACTCTCTGTCTAGAACCAGGACCCCAGCGTAGGCCCCACGGTACGCCACGCAGATGAGGAAACCTGGGCCGACAAGCCAACGAGTAAACGAGATCCAGAGAACCGGCATCCTCCTGGGATTGTCCAGGCTGAGGACCCAGATGCCAAAGAGAGCTAATCTTGTTCTTTAAAATAGCAACGGAACAACAAATGCCTCCCATCTTTCCCGCCCCCTTGGGAGGTTAGCGACTTGGTTGCAAGAGGTGGCATCTTGGGCAAGGACCAAATGATAGCTTATTCGGAGAGTGCTGTAGGCACTGCTGTACCTTCAGCCTCTGCTAGCAGACTTCCAACAGAATTCATAACCACTGCTCCTTGCCCCTCTGCCTCCCAGCACAGCACCATCAACCACATTTTATCTGGGGAGTGATAGAGATTCACTTTACAGGTCACAGCCTCAGGTTTTTAGCAGTCATCAAGAACCACAATTAGCAAAACTAGTCAAAATAAATGTGGTCACCTCACCCAGACTCAGATCTGCTGCCACAGGAGCAGCCAAACAGTCCAAGTTCAGCTGATCTTATCTTCAGGGAAGAACAAGTTCCACCAGAGTCTGAAACATCCACTCTGGATCAGCAAGGCTGCACGCATCCCCAAAGAGTCACGCCGAGTTTAAGGAGCAGATTCACATCATGCAAAAAAGGAAGTTTACGCTCTCAAATTAAGTAATTAAACAGTGCCTGATAAACCCAAGGAATTCTACTAGCCCCTGGAGTCAAGCCAACTTCTCTGACGGGGCAGGAATTTAAAAACAACAAGGGAACACTATCTTTCAGGAACTGGTGCAGCAACAAAACAGAAGACAAGCAGACGAGAGACTTTCTCTGAAAAGGAGATCCCGTTAGTTGACAACGTGAAAGAAAAGTGCTCTCACATCTATCATAGGAAAGAGAAAGTAAAACACGTTAATAAGTAAGCACAGACGGAAAGGAAGAGCGAGTGAAATCAGCCTCTCGGACTATACGTGAAGTCACTCCACCCAAGATGAAGCAACAAAGACATGAAAACAAAGAGATAGAGGACTTCCTGGAAAACCTGGCCATATATATCAACATGGTACTAATTAGTTAATCAACCTATTGCACAATTTAAAAATAAATAAATATTTTAAAAGTCTGGGAGAACAAGGAAACACCAGATGACAATGTTCTTATCAGAACGAAATGTGGAACAAGGTTGGCCTGATAACTTTATCTCTGAGCTCTGCTAACAAAGTGAAATAAATATAAGGATAGAAAAAAAAATCTCCCAAACATCTGGAGAATAACGGAAGCATGGCAAAATCAAGTCATTTTAGACAATCCTACAAACATACAGCAAGTAGCTTTTGGCATACAAGCCGTACACCTGAAGCCAACAGGATAGCTCATATATTAAGTTACGTCTACGTCCAAGTGATGGTGTCATTTCCAACACCTCTTTTCTCCCATTACCAGGAACAATTTTATAAACCACTGCTGATAATAGGAGGTGACAGACCCAGCTGTAAAACTACAGCTTGTTCCCAGAAGGCTATATAGAATAGGTATAGAGAGCAGCAAGCACTTAACCCACTGAGTGAGGATGAGTATGTTTAACAGAGGGCACAATACCTTTGGTATTTTAGGGTCTCAAGACATTCTGCAGGGTAAACTCAGAATAAAAGAGACCTGCTTGCCATTCCAGTTAAATACACTCCCAGCAAAGGCAGTTAATCAATGAATCAATCAATAAATGGCATTTTATCATCAACTAGAGACAGCTGTTTCAGTGTAACAACCACTCCTGCAACCCAGCACCGAGAAGAGTCTTTGGAACAGCTTATTCTGTGTTGGGAGTGCAGCGGTTGCCTTTGCTGTCAATTCCTTGTGCGCTGAAAAACCCAAATAGTTTCTCTGAACAAAAAGAAAGAAAACTAAACCTATGTTTTTCTGATGTCTGAATAGGTTTTTTTGGCACGTAGGTATGTTAGTTTTCAGGTGTCTACTTACAATTAGGATTTATTTTTCTTAGTATCACAAGAGGGCTTATTTATGACAGCAGGGTATATAATTTAGATGGTAAGAAAGCAAAGTGAAACACCAATCCACACACTGAGGAAACAAAACCAACTCATTTCTCCTCTCTGTTAGTGGGCAGAACTGGAAAAGGGCCAGTGAACAAGAGGACCGAGATGTCAGTCAGGTCCCATATAATGAATAACTACGTATACCATGAACCTGCAACCTGGAGAAAGTGATGACTGAGGACATCTATGATATAGGTCTGGAAAATCACAAGTGGCAAGGAGACAAGGAATAGGGGTGGTCATCACTACACCTGACAGTGGAAGAATTAGGGTCAGTGGATGAAATAATCAAGAAAACCATTAAAACAGCCTGCCAACAGTTCTTTTTCATACTGCACAATGAATTCGGGGTTCATTGCCACAGAACACTGTGGAGGCCAAAAGCAGAAAAGGATATTTAAAAAGGGGCGAAGTGCATTCATTAAGGCCAGGTCCAGAAGGAACTGCCAGTCCAGAAAGTCCATAGACTGCATGAATGGTGTCAAAGACCTCTGTATGCAAGCTTTGTATTTTATGCTTCTGTGATCACCTTTTACTGGCTATCCTCAGAGACAGGGTAGCAGATTAGATGGCCTTTGGTCTGATTGCACGCAGTGCTTCTTATGGATCAAAGCTCTCGATTTTGTCATGATTTAGAATTTGGAAAGGTTAACTTAAAAAAAAAAGGGACATTTGAAAAGCTTGTATGCCTCCTCTGCTTCTTCTTTCAGCCCTCAAAGATGTGCTTCTTAATCATTCGGTTTCCATGAATGGTAAAGTATTGCTGAATTAGCAACAAACAGGATTTTGTAAGAGCCACTGAAGGCTGCATTATTGTTCCCAGATGCTGCCCAGTCCCCTTTATACGACATTTCTCCCGACCCAGTCTCAACTGCAGGTTAAACAGCCCTCTATATTCCTTTTTTTCTCTTTTCTACATTCTTGCTAAATCACTTTGTTGGGCTGCTATACTTGTGACATGAAACAGTTAAGATACTAATCTGTTGGCCTCTGCTAGCTAAACCCTCCTCCCAGACTGCTCATTTCTGTGTGGGTAAGTGACAAAGGAAGACTCCTTGATTGCTGTCTGTAAACATCCTTATTTCACCCAGAATTTGCCACTTTGATTGGATTTCGCCTTCCAGCCAGTCAGACCAATACATTTCTGCAGTGCAGTAGAGTAAACAACGCAACACAGTGATTCTGAGTCTGTAGCTAGACAGACTGAAGTAGCAGCACAAGTAAGTCAGAAAATCTCCTGCATTTATCTGGACACAGAGCAAGCTCTGAGACCAGCCATCACAGTCGTTTTTATACATAAAATAGGTGTGCACACAGACATATGGACTCATACATTCATTACTAACCCTCATTTAAGGGACTGACCATCCAAAGTCTATGCTTCACCCAGTAAATGTGCATTAACTGGAGGTGCCAGGTGCATCCAGGACCGTGCAGTGGGTTTACAGACCACTGCATGAGGATATGGCTGTAGGTTCAACATCAATCAAGAGGTTACTGTTCCAGCTTGTTCAGTCTTTAGTTCTCCAGACCTTCCCAATCAAGACAACACACAGGTAGATTGTTTGTTTTTATCGCTCGTAGTGGAGTTTGGAGCCAGGTTACCTGGAACGAGAAGAAGTCAAAGTAATGTTAATGTTAAGTAAGAAAGACCTGGACAAAGTTTGGACTCATGCTTCGATCCTCTCTCATTATTTACTATACACCTTGTGTTAGACTTAAATTACTCTGCACTCTCTGGTTGTTTTATTTCCTACTACCATGAAGTGAAGAGACATTAAAATAAGAGCAAATTCAGAGTAAACTGTGGAGAAAACCACTGGAGAAGTATTTCCAGGCTTTGGTCTGTACCCAGGCCAGCTTCAGTGGTATTCTCAGGTCCCAGCTGGCACTGAAAAACAGTCTGTCCATGACTTGGGTGGGAGGTTTTCCAAAGAGTGAGATATAAAAAAAAAAGTCAGCTCATCTCATCCATTTGATCCCCACACACATTCTCAGTAGAGGTTTTTTCACATCCCGCTTTAAACATCTCAAGTGCCAGTATTTCTACCATTTCCTTTGCAAGACAAATCCCGAGGCCTCAGGGTCTCTCACTTAAGCAGCACAGTATGCTGCCCCAATTTTTTACCATCTTAGTTTTTTTCATTGCTCACTGTAGATTCCTTCTGCTCCCCGTATCTGTACTTTTCAGTGCTTGCACTGGTGCCTGATCTCCTTCATTAGAGCCAGCTGTTGGTCTGGATGCCCCAGCATATTTTTTTCAAGCATCGTACTAAAGTGTGTTTGCGGAGATTTTTGCGAGTAAGGGAGCTCGTCTGTGCTCTGAGCTCAGCAAGGCTTACGTGACCTACAGCCCAGGGCAGTACGTACTGAGAGAGGCTGCCATGTGGCTTGCACTCACTCTGAACAAGGGCAGACCCCGCTGATGTATTTGTGGAGAAGGAAGGTGTGTGTGCATCTACCAAGCAGTTGGAGCCAGCAGCCCATAGAGAGTGAGAACAGAGAGGGAAAACTGCCACAGGTCATGGTGACATGCTACGGAGAAGTCTCAGCCTTGCTAAGGTGAGGGAGCTTTCAACCCAAGCACGGCTTCTGAACTGGGCTTCCAGTGAATCATTTTTCATGTCACTCTCTTGCTTGTGGGTATTTGATCAACGTTTTCCTCATCCGTAGGTGATGAGGAAGAGAAGAGCTCTCTGTTCTCCCCTTCTCTCCACCTTCTTCCACACTGCAACTTTTTCATGTCCACGTGGGAGGCTGCACTGCAACCCGCCCTCGCTTTTGTGGCTGCTCTGTGTGCTGCTGCCTCCTCCCCACATCTCCCCATGGCATTTCATTCTGCTCCCTGTCCCCACTTTGACCCATTCTGTAGGTTACTACTAAGTTTATCATTACTCCTATCTCCTCACCACCCCTGTTCCCTTCCCCGTCTGTATCACATTCAAGACCCTCATGTTTCGTTTCAAAAGTGTCTGTGCTCCTCTGCTTAATCTCAACTCCTTTATTCTCACTTGCTACGCTTGTCTTCTGACCTTTTTCTACAGATCCCGCTACAGTTAGAGCAAACACCCTCCTTGTATGTACCCAACAACGTTCCCCTCTCTCTCTAGAAAAGAGGCTGAAAATTCCACTTACCACCCATCCACGATGCCACTTTGGCAGAAAAACACTGGTGATAACTAAGCAGCTATTTCTGCAGTATTGCAGTGCCTAGTGGAAATCCCATTTCTTGTTGCAAGAAGCACCCAAAAGTGAAACACAAAATCCTGCTATTAAGTATATGTGTTCTGCAACCAACACTCACGAGGAGCGAAGGCCGATGTACGAAGCAGCTCAGGATAGCGGACCCTTCTGAACGAGCCCACTTTGCATCTTTCAGGGTGGAAAACGAAACAAAACGCCAATGCCTTCCAAAGCCATACATCTTTTTAAACCCTTACAGTATTTCCCAGAAACGGCACGCAGATGTCAGTGTCTCTTTGCTGATCACAGTCTGCCCAGCAGCAGCTTAAAATTAACAAGATTCTGGTCAGGTTCAGAGCTTCTGCAGTTGTGTTCCTAAGCGGGCCACAGTGAAATTAAAGAGTCATGTCGATTTGATGGTGTAGTTTAAGAAAGCCTTGTAAGACAAAGCATGGTCTCCGTGCAGTGTGCTAGGACAACACCGCAGGATGTTAATTTGGACGCTTAGTTTGGGACATTACTATGTGTAGCACTTGTATTTTCCAGACTCCTAATTCTGACTTGTAGGTATCCTTTCCTGGCCTGTAAATACTGAGTGAGATTTTCAGACTCTGTCACAGAACGCACTTTCATCGCTTCCTTTCCCGGTTCAGGTTCTCTTCATCACCATTCACTCTTACAAGACTGAATCTGACCTTTAGCCTGCTTGAATAATGTCTTTCAATTACTCTGCGAGCTACTCGGGGTGTGGATCTGGTCTCTCGATGCATTTGCAAGGTGGGATGCGTCTCTGTGTACTACGGAATTAATAGTGACTTTGGAGGCTGTGTGCAGAGGCAGGCCCACAGGGCTTAAGTGTGCTGTTTAATCTTTACAAAAGGTAAGGGCAGCTATTTCAAACTGTGAAGCTCTGAATAATTGCATCCTAACCTGCCTGCATGTCAAGCACCATCTCCCTCCTTCATTTCCACTTCTTACCTCCCTTCTATCACCCAGAGTATCACAGCATCAGTTCTTACTAGACCTGCTCAAAGACAACTTAAACTGTTAAAACTAAGTCAGCCCTACAGTTACCCAAGAACAAAGTGCCTCCTATTTTTATCTTGAAGCTGGAACTCCATTCCATGCCCATGTTCAAGAATTTTTTTATTAAATCCTAATGAAACTTGTGCTACTGATCAAGTAGCTGCAGGATCTTCCGGACAACTAATTTTCTTCTTTCTCATGAGTCTCCATCTTCCTAATGTGCCCTCTACCATCGCTGTTCACACACCAGTTTGGGACCATTAGACTGGAGAAGCTTTCTGTCAAGAACAGTGATTCAATTCAAAAGCAACACACAAGCAGTGATCTTCCTCCAGCCTTTTACACCACCAGATGACCTAACTCTACTTACACCACACTTCAAAGGCTGTGGAGTCTCCCATTGCCTCCATGAATAAGCAGTCTCAATTTGCATAAAACAAAAAAAATACTTGCCTGGACTCCTCGGAAAGACTTATCAGGTCAGGAAGAGCAGAGTGGGAAGGTTGGTGTGCTGGACCTCTGCGCCCTCCCTGCACCCGTTCTCAAGTCTTCCTTCCCCTTTATTGAAAGAGGTGGCAGCCCTCAGGAAGTAGCAGCGGCAATAAATAAAACCTGAACGTAATAGCGTGATAGTGTCTGTGTGGAAACGGTCCAGCCCAAGCCTCCGACTGTCTGGCACAGATCCACTGTGTTCAAAGGAACAGGGACATCCCGGCTGCCCGGACTGTGTGATGCCCCAGAAAGGTGCAGTGCCCCACTGTTCAACTAGAGACATCCATCTCTTCCGTGCCTTAATCTGGGCCTAATTTCATCACCACATGGCAGGAATGGTGGGCTGTCTGCTTTAAAACAGCTGACAGTGAGAATCTGATATTGCAAAGTGCTGACAAACCAGAGATGACACGATTCTGTACTTCTGTCACTAGAGGGTAGTGCAAGTCCTCAGGTCCCTTCCTCCAGGAGGAAATGCCCATACATCTCCCTATAGGGTTTCACCGATTTTGTTTTCCCTGGCTCTGAGGAATGGGGCCCAGCAGCACACACCATCTATGCTCAAGACAAAGTGATCCGGAGAGAGGGTCTCGTTAGACCAGGGTTTACTTCTGCCTCCCCAAATGCCAAACACGCATCCTGAAATGGGTCTACTGTAGTCTTAAATGAACTATCATTGCCTTCTTACAGTTCCTCTCTCTCGTGTTCATTTGGCATTTTTGAGTCTGTCCTTCATTCAGCCAGTAATATTTCTAAGAACCTAATCAATCGCTGTTGTTGACCTTCCCAAGACCTTGCTTTTCTTTTTGGTCTCAGGAGAATGTGTTTCTATTTCACATCATGGCAGTCTCAAGGGAATTCGGTCTCTCTACACCTGCATTTTGCATTCATCAGAGCATAGAATGATCTCTGGCCAGACAAACTGGGGAGAAATTTTCTCCCTGGAACTAGTTTGCTTTCCTGTTGGTGCAGGATGTATTGACACCCAGCACAGCTCACAGAGAGGAAGACAACCAGGCTGAATAGTTGGTAGATTTACTTCAATCTGACAAAAAATCTAAAATGCTGGGAAGTTAGCTATGAACCCATAAATTGGGAGAAATCTTGATCATTTGTGTCTTCAACCAGATGAAGCCTTGGAAGGACTTAGTGAAAATATCAATCATGCATTAGCAAAGAAAGAAAAGTTGAGATCTAGTACTTCTCCATAACTTCTGGTTTTGTGACACTCTCCCCCATTTCAGAAGGTGATAAAGGAGCAAATTAAAGACTTCCACCCTCCCTCTCCTCCACTCCTTGCCCCCTTCACCTCAACGTAAACACATTTTCCTCTCTTCTCCGCCAGTAACTTGTCACATTAAACACACCCGACTAAACCCAAGTGAGGAAGGGAGAGGTTACACTGAAAATCTGTCTGCACCCTGCTAGCCACTACGATAGTGAACATAACTGCTGCTGTTTATTAGGGCTTTACACAAGGAGACAGTCCCCTTTCTCTCCCTTTGTCCCGTACCCGCTTGCTGAGAAGTGTGAGAAAACATGACATAAGGAGTACCGACTTTACAATAAGCCTGTCATTAAATTGCCTTCAACTTAAATTGCCTGTATCATTTGATACAATTTCTACCCTTCTTTGATCCCACTCATTTTAATATAGAGGAAATAACAGGATTTGCTCACAGGTGCCTATATTGAATATGTTTGCACCGATCAGCCAAACCGCGAACAAGGGAGACAGAAGCAGAATATGCTGGTAGAAGAGATTTTACCTGAGATGCCTCCAGTGCTCCGAACACTGGCATGGCCAATGCTGAGCTGTTCATATTCCAGTTTGATGTTCCCAAGGTCTTCTCCTGAATGTCCTTCACTGGCAAAAGAATTGGCCTCAATGCTTGAGCCTGGAGACCGTTTGGCCTTGCGACTGAAAAGCCCACTGGCAAACCGTTTTCCTTGCTTTGAATTGGCCTGTGCGTCTTCTTTCTTCACATCACGAATAGACTCTCTGGATTTGGATTTATTTTTCAGGTCCATGTGGAGCCGGGAGAACAGTTTCTGAGGGCTCCGATTCAGCTTGTTCAAGTTTTCCAGAGGTGGATCAATTTCTGGGAACTCCTGCTCCAATGTGACTAAGTCATTTAGAAACTGATTTAGCCGTTTCTTTGACTCACTTGTTTCCTCCTTTTCCATGTTCCCCTGATGATCCTGCCTGTGTCGTGAAGCCCAGAGCATCATATCACCACGAGTGGCCCCTGCCACTAAATTATACTTGGGGTTAATGAACTTCCGAGCCACGGTGGAGGAATGAAGGCCTGGCTTCCCAATTCCAAGAGGGAATGGGTTAGCAATACCCAGTTCCTTGTAGAAATTAACTTCCTCTGAGATGGCATAGAGCTCACGAAACTCAACATCAAACATCTCCACGTGCTGTCCTGTCAAGACTAGCAGGATGTTTCTGTCAATGTGGGATGAACTCCATGTAAAGCTAAGAGTAGAAAACAGAACCAACATGAGATTTTTGGGTGCATACTTGACCCAGCCTACCTAACAGTATCTGAGACGCTACAAGGGAATACACAGCATTGTGCCATTTGCCCGTATGTCCTTGCCAAGATGGGTCAGAATGGCTAGATGAAGCTCTTTATTATTGTTCTTCATTAGGCATGCAGACCAGATCTGGAAGAAAAGGCCCTAAAACTCTGAAGGACAGTTTACCCTTTTAAAAAAGCAACACTGCATCAACAGGAGGAGTCTCTAGACTGAAAACCTCGCTGAAGAGAACTGAGCACAGTGGCTGGTGGGCAGTTCGTGCAGACCACCACCTGATGCAGTGTGGAACTATCTCTGGTCCACTGAAATGGTCCACCAGCACGGGCATGTTCCGTTCTCTCAGGAGGAGCTTGTGCTCTATGCCACCTTCTCTGTCGTCCCACCCCAGTTTCTACAGATGCCACACAGATTAGAGGGGCCGGGATAAGAAAGGGAATGACATGGGAAGAAGATTCTCAAGCAAAGCCACAAGGCATTCTTTGCACAAAGGCTGTAGCTTTGCCTGAAGCAAGAGCGACCCACCTGTATGATCCAGTGGCCACCTTTTCACCATCCACCATCAGGAATCGGGATGCCAATGTGCCTCTGATCTTCCCTGCTGGCATGTAGAACCCAACTCCTGTCACAGAACGTATGCGGATATTCTAACAGGGAGGTGAAAAGACAAAATGTCACAGTAAATAGGGCAGAGAATGAGATAATTGCCAGCTCCAAGTCTTAACGTGTCACTCACACTATCTCACTACTTCTGGGACTACAGCTCATTTTGTATCAGCCACCAGAAATCAGAAGGGCGGCAGAAAGGAAAGCGTAGTGCCCTAAGACCTGTTGTCATCCCCTGTCTACGCAAGTCACTCCCCTCCATCAGCTTACAGCCCTGTCCAATGGGTCAGCATCTTTGTAACCTGCCTGCTGTCTTCAGCTATTCATCTTAGCCCATAGGCAAGACAGTGCTTTCAAAATCAGACAATCCTCCATCTCCAGTCCTGTGCTGTAGCTCAGAAGGCCCAGCCCAGTTCAGGGGAATGAATCAGAGAAAGCTCTGAGTCACGTCTGCACTCTGAATCCTGATCCCTATTCCACGGTGCTCGTGAGCTCTTCTCCAGATTACGTTAGCAGGACCACAAAACCAAGGAACTTCGCAACACCTGTGCAGCGCAAAGGACACAGTTACTTGGAGGGTTATGCACGAGACGGGTCTATATTAGGTTCTTTTTGTGCTTGTGTTCTGATTCCCGGCAACACATGGCCTGACAAAACTGGGCAAATTAAAAGACTGGACAATTTAATTATTACAGAAAAGAGGAGGAAACAATTCTGCTGCTCCAAAGATAGATATTTCCTGTCTGTTATAACAAACGGAGAACCCTGACCTTTATAATTTTGCTAAGAACCCCAGATAGTTACAGTGTCCACCCAGATTCCTCACTGTTCAATGGAGAGTAAAAAAATGCAGAACTTTTTTTGAACAAAAAGAGTAGGATAAGTGTCTCTACTGATGTCCTGAATAGATCAGCAGAGAAGAATTTCTGAAGAAGAGGAAGGAAAAACTTTTCATGAAATGAATGGAAGTAGTTAGAAGAAGGTAATACCTCTCCCCAAACCTCCTGTCTCACACCCTTTGGCCAGCAAACCTACAAGGAATGAAAAAAAGCACTACCAGGCACAGAGAAAACAGATTTAAGGTTACGTGATTCTCAACAACAGATGTGTGCCTGCACTTACTGTAAGAATACATTTGCACATTGGACTGAGTGTTACTCTGCTCATGGGTCCTGGCTGCATGAAGCTGAATTGCCAAACTGTCTAACATGAAACACGCCCCCCCGCCAAACCCTAAAGCGTTGATTGTCAGTAAAAGTCTAGAGCAAATTACCTTGTTGCTCTGACACACAAATTTAGACCATTTTCTTCATTCCGCCCTCTGTTTCTGTAAGAATTTAACAATGAAAAGCTAAAAGGTATTGTGATCTGGAGTAATAAATCCAGGGTTGGGAGTCAGATAGTCCCAAGCGTAATCACAGTTCTGACACTATTCCCTGTGATGTTCTGGGAAAGTCAATTCACCTTCGCCTCATTCTTACTCCATCTGCAGAGCAGGAGAATCATGAGGATTTGGCTAATGCTAGCACAGCCTAGGATCCCACAAAGAGCTAAGTCCTATTATTATAAACCTCACTGACAGCTTAAATATTGATAGGCTATAGAAATCAGCATGCAGGAACAAGTGATTATAAGAATGCAGATTTCTTTAAAAAAAAAAAGTTTTTCTGCTTATAACTCTTACCTTCTGAATCTGCTCCTATTTCCCCCACTAAAATACAGCAGTGGCAATACAAGTTCTGACTAACAGTAACTGATGATACTACTATTTTGCGTTCATCTGTTGCTTGATCTGTCTGGAGTCCTGTGTGGGCATTAGCTAATTAATGCTCTCAACACTGCCAAAAGTATTATTACCCTGTTTTAAAGTTGAGCAGCCTGAGAGAGAAAAAGATGAAGTGACTTGCCCAAGGCCTAGCAGTGAGTCATATGTGTGGGATGCTGAATGCAGGTTGGGTAGAGCACAGGAGAAAGGGTGCCCTTTCCAGTGTTTAGAATAACAGTTGTAGTTGGCTGGCTGATCACCTGAAATCATTTTTTTCCCTTGCTGAGTAAAGGTGGATGTGGGATTTGCCAAATCATGGAATATTGGCTGCAAGTGACAAGAAGGACCTCCGACCTCCAGTCTTCAAATCAGTCAACAGCTCTGACATGTCATGTACCCCTGTGAATCAAGACTTATCAGCCTGTGTGAGCAGAGAGTTTCTTAGCATGTAACAAGTGTGGATTTTATTGTGTTTGTATGTTATATCACCTTCTTTTGGTGGAAAAAAAGCACGCTTGAATTTCTGCAGTCATTGAGCTACACATAACACTTAGAAAGGCACAGAGGGGATGGAACCAAACAGCTGAACACATAAACCTCCTTGAACAAAGTAGGCACAGGAGTGCATAAATACATCTTGAAATGCAGAAAACAAGCACAAAGTCATATAAACATCAAGTCACTTAACAGGTTATTTGTATAATGTTTTCTGCCTTGAAGGATCTTGGAGCGTTTGTAGACTGATATATCAAGCTGTACAGAGGAGCAAGCCTGGGTTCATGTACTGAAGACTACACAACAACAAAAGAGGAAAGACAAATATAAATGAGGTGACATTGCAGCCATTTTTGGGGGGCACTGGTGTTACAGTAATAACAAATATTTTGGGTAAAGGACCAGTTGGTTCACCAGACAGAAGTGACCCCTCCAGACCTGTATTCTTGCAGAAGCCTGCTTAAGGTTTGTCATATCCTGGCTTATGGAAACTGCAGTCTGCATTAAATTTCCACATTTCCTTTGCACCGCTCCTCATCACAGGCAGTGACTAACGTCTCCCTGGCACAACTTAATACGGACTGGTAACAGTCAAACCTGACAGGGCATCCTAATACAAACAGTGAAGGAATCAGTCTTTCTCGCTTTATTGTGACGCACTTTTAAACCTCACCCTGAATCCACAGAAAGTTAAATTAAACCCAGTTTAGAAAGTCAGTAATAGGTTGTGTTGTGACTGATACTTAGTTGTCACTTGACAGATCTGGGCAGTAGTTCTCACAAGCTGGGGTTGAGGTGTGTGTGTGGGGGATACACGAGAACGACTCTAAAGGGAAGCGTTGTAAGTACTTCCACCAGGGAATCCGGCGTGTACCCTCCCTCTTCGAACAACCACTGATATATATGTCACAAAGCAAGCAGGGATCTGTATTTCAAGTTGGGATGGATGGCATGAATGTCCTCTATAAACTAACATGTAAAACAGAGAGGTGACAGACAAAAGCAGTAGCTGATAGATGACAGTGACTCAACAGTCCCTTCTATTGACTGTGTTTTTCAAAATGTGGAGGCCCCCGTTCTGCTGTCCCTGGAAAAATCAGATCCCTTCAGTCAATGGAATCTGTTGGGGTAGCTCGTGTCCTTTGTTTTCTTTTACTACTGCTTCACTGGAGCACAGGGCTGAGGGAGAAGCCCCAGATGCCCGTTATTTCCCACTCTGAAATCCTAGATGGAGGTACCGCAGAAGGAGGAAAGAGGAAGAGAGAGATGGGATTCATGTGGACAGGACCACAGTAACAACAGTAAAGGAATTTTTCTTATTTGTGGTCTGCAAGATTCTCATTTTTGGTGATCAGACCTCCAGGTCAGAGAGATGGGTGGTAGGTGCTCATCTTACACAGGGACACAAAAGCAGCCACAATCTGGAAGAAGCCACATAATAATGCTGAGGAATACTATGAACTTATCCTATGTGTTTGCCCTGAGCAGTTCTGGAAAGGTGTGCTTTTGGACAAAATAGTAAAACTTGCAGGTACTCAAGCAGAATAGGATGGAAGGCAGCTAGCTGGAGCTGGCCTGCCAAGGTCATTACTGGCTATTACTTAGTTGGGTCTTTGCAAAAAGAGAGCCTTGTAAGCCCCCATTTTCAAAAGGTTACAAGCAGCCTAGAAAAATTCTCTAATAGACAATTAAAAAACCAACAGCACTGCGTCACATTACGTTCAGCTTCTCCCTCGCTTGAGTGAGGAATCGATGAGGAAAGACATGCAATACTGAATTGAAATTCCAAAAATTTCTGAGGCAGAAATTTTTAAGAACTCCTGGAGTGAGGGGAGGAACTCCTTACAAGTTGGGAAAATGAATGTAAAAACTAACATGAAGGTGAACTCCCTGCAGGTAACTCATTCCCTGGGCTTGCTTGGAGCTCTAGGTGAGCTCCCTGTCTTTGAGCAGGAGCGTCTGTTATTGTGGTCATGGTTAGCAGAAGCATGGGGGGAAAGAGAACTCATCTAAAAACTGGTGAGAACACTCACCCTCAGGTCAACAAAAAGAGGACTTTTCGTGGGGCTATGAATTTTGTATCTATGAGAACTTTGATTCATTGTGATCTCCGAAGAACACTCTTCTGTCAAACATAACAGAAGTCTGGCAAACCATGTCCTGTAGGCTCAGGAAGCCATATGACTCATACACACAAGACACGCTCTTACTAACATCCCAGGATGAATGTGCCGATGGTTGATGTTAAATGCATTTCTTGTGATCTTTGGCCTTCAGACAAAAATCGAGGTTTTTCTCATTTCATGCTTGCCGTCAGTGAATAACTTTTTGTCTTTGCAGAGTGAGGTACTGTCTTCCTACAGCAGTTTCCCTCCTGCGAGGCTGTCAGCAGATCATGATACCTTACAATCTCAAAATGATACAATAGCCAGGTATTTTGTGAAACGCCCAGCACTGTATGTAGACAAAGGGCAAAATCCGGTGTTAACAGTAAATCTCTCTGTGTTAGGACCGTTGAAGTATTCACTCTGCATTGGATGAACGGGGCAATGGAAACAAAAAGGCAGGAATCGCAGAACAATCTGAGCATCTGGTGATGACAGAAGACAGAATAAGCATCCTGACCCTGCAGCGATGACAGCCCATGGTAGTGTGTCATCTCTCTCTCTCTCTTTCTCTGGGATCAGAACTTGCCTCCAAACCTTAAAGTTACATCCCACAGTACTGCAACTTTCTGAGAAAAAGCCACGCTGTAAATCTTGCACAAGCATTCCAAAGGAAAGGTTGGGAAGAAGGGCAGGAAGGAAGCGTATGCGGTTCCTTTGCTAACAAACTGTAGCCCACTGGTGAAAATCTTTTAGAAGAAAGCAAAATGGTTACACAAAAAGACAATGTAAGGAGAGAATGTTTTTCCTGTTGCTGAAAATCTGTAGAAGAAACTTGGACATCAAAGCAGATATCAGGAGAAAGACATGTCATAAATAAGAAATGGCTGAATGAGAGAGTTAACTGCGCTAGAGTTTCTCGTTCTTCCTCAGCAATTCCAACATCCTCTGTGATGAAGTGATGTGAGACAAAATGATTCTGCCTGAACAAGACCGGAGGCCCAGCTTGCTTTCTTGCTTTAAATCCGGGTCTTCGACACTAAAAGTTCCAAACAACTCTTGACACATTACATCAATGAGGTGGGGGTTGGGGGACTCCTCAAGGGGAAGCCTTAACCTTGCTTGAGATTCCTTGGGTGTCAGGGGAATCACTGTGTGATGATTTCTGCCATACTGACCCAAGCAGCAGCACAGATGCATCCAAGGCAGCCTTGGGCAGGATACTAAGAGGCCATCTTCCCTGAGAGGCAAATGACCTCTTTCCCCTGACAGGAAGACTCTTCCCACTCCTTCCATAGTCTCATAGACAGGAATAAACTGCATTGACCGTAACAAGAATAACTAAAGCTTTTGCCGTACTGGAAAAGGAATACAACAACCTTAAGGGGAATTTAAGATACAGTATGAGATAGCTGGGAAAAGAAGGGAAAACGTTGAGGGACAGCACTCTGTGGGCTGGAGCTCTGCAGAAGAGTGAACAACTAGGTCAAAGAAAGACGTTAAAAAGTTCTCCTCAGTGGACCTCGTTCCCCTCAACTTGTATTTGGACTTTTTTTAGCTGAAGGAGTCTAACGGAAAACATAGCAAAGGCTGCTGTGAGTGAAGGGAAGCACCGAAGGGACACAGAAGAGTTTTCTCCCACTTTTGACGGCATCAGTTCAAACTCTACCTCCTTGGAAAGGGTAACACAACCAGGCTGCTGCAGGACGTAGTCACTGCTGTGGCATGTCACTGTGATGATTGGTTTTGGGGTGTAAAGTCTGTGTAGATACCTATGGAGAAAGAGGTAAGAAGAAGAAGAGCAAAAGGGGACCGCTTACTGTTTAAAGATGAAGAAGGCAGCCAAAAAGGAACTTGCCTCTCCAATAACATTGCAACTTTTTCTAAAATGTCAGGGCATCTTTTCATTCACTGTGTCCAGGAGTTAAAATATGCAGTACTGAAGGCATCATTCCTGCACATGATGACATGGTGAGAAAAGTACTGGGAGAGAAGTACTGGAGCAAATGGAACTACTGCTGTGATTTCACAGTTTTGTACCAAAGAGACCCCTGCCTAGGCCACAGAATACCCCTGGAGCTTGAAACAGGTTTATTATAACGATGTCCGTGTCTTGCTTTCAGAGACACCAGAAAAAGAAGCTCCCATCTCTGTTTTGGAGAACGATGAGAAAGCTGCTCGGCTGGATGTCTTTTTTGATGAAGTCCAGAAACTCAGAGCAGAGTGGTAGTTCACAGGAACACTCTGCAGATATATGCAAGTCATTTTCATCCGGGTTTAAGATGGTTCTCCTAAAACGGTTAATATGAGCCTCTGTAACCTTCAGAGCTTTTTGAGTTTTGGGGTTTTAACTATTAATGGAACGTTTATGGAAGATCTGCCTTTCCTCCAAGCAAAAAGGCACTTTTTTTCACCACCACCCCCACCCCCCCCCTGCTGCTCAGAAGAACAGTTGGATCATAAGAGGGGTGAGTCTGGCATCCCATAGGTTGTTTCCAACCTAGCAACTTTTCAGTATTCGGAACAAGTCTGTAGTAATGTCAGTGACTAAAGAACATGAAAAAATCAAGGAATACAACACTAACTATAAACACACAAAGGATTTCAGTCTCTATGTAATGGAATGAGATCCTGCTGAGGCTGCTTCTGCCAGCCAAGCTAGGCTGACTACTCTGCTGCGCTGTACAAAGGCATACGCTGATGTGGAATGGGGGGGCAGCTATGCCCCTCAGTCCCTTATGTTCTCAGGCAAAGGAGGACTACAAGATCCTTCACTCCCAGATGATCACTGCCGGATAGGAAAGTCTTGATTTCACAGAGTATATGTGTCCTATAGCTGGGATCCATGCAGACAACAACTCAAAGAGCTACGCTGGCCTCTAGTTTGAATCCTTGCATAGGAGACCCACAGGAATTTCCTCAGACAATTTTCTTTCCAAACAGGAGTTTTTAGATCAGAAGAGCCAAGAAACATAGACGCCTGTCTCAGGTGAAAGGCAAAAAATCCAAATCTTTCCTTTCTCGTTCCTTCTGTATTAGCAAGCCACTCTCTTACCCTACCGTGTTCCATGAACCACTGTCTAAGTGCTGTGCTGTGACTTGTTGGGAGGAGGAGATGTGTTTGCCTGTCCAAGTGAGTTCCAAGATTCGTTACATCTAAAAAAGGCCACTGACCTGCAGGCGATAATGGTTCAGTATTGAATATCTTACCCGGATCTGCAAGTCACTGAGGTCAAGGCATCTGCACATTTCCAGGAAGAGCTTCACACCCTCCTCATCTAGGATTATATAGACTGGGATCCAGCGCTTATATGCTGCATCAACAATATCACGAAAGATGTCCCGGTCTGTAAATACATCCATGACCACTGCGATAATCTGGAAACAAGAAGACAGTAGACAGACAACTGAATAAAATGTTAGGAATTGAAAGGGAGACCCATCACACTGGTGCAAAATAAAGGAGAGCACTGATACCAGAATATGGAGGAGGAGGAGGATATAGGAGATACAAAAGTACAGGGATGTACATGCCCAAGCACTACCAAGAAGCTTGTAATTTGCTGGCTTGGCTCCTGCTGCACTTTGGAAGGAACTTAATAAATATCTTTGAGAGTTCTCTTTCTTCTAGGGGAAGATGGCTTATTTCAGCAGCCTGAGGAATGCCAAAGCCAAATACGTAGTTTTTCCTCCGTATTGTGAAACTTTGATTGCCTCTACAAGGATCCACTTAAACAAAGAAGAACACTGAAAATAGATTGAAAAAGAAGAGTGAAAAACACAGCCTTAACACTTAATCAGAAGGTGAGTAATGGAAGAATGAATGTGCAGAGGAATCGGGGCCTGAATCCTCAGCCATGGCACATAGTGCAGACAGCAAGAATTTTATTTCCTTTTTTCCCTGATTCCCTGCAAGAAGTCAGGGCTGGCTTCCCGAGGAATGTCTTAGGGAGCTCAAACATAAACACCTCATATTTGTCAGGAAGGAACTGCAGTCTGTGTTCAAGATTTGGAGGCAAAATGATCGTTCCCTCTCTTCACATGTACATTTTTTCTGGTATAAAACTAATCTCTCTTTCCAGGCATAGATTTTACATAAAAACAAAAGGTTGCACTGACGTGACAGACAAGCCTGAACATTCATAGAATGAGTAACAACAAAACCGAGAAGGTTATGGACAACATTAATGCTGATCTTACATGTTTTGTCTTTCTCTCCCTTTCTGTATCTTTTACATCATTAGAAATATCAATTCACTTTTCTGCCTGAAAGAGTTATTCTCCCCAACAATTGAAAGTCTATGAATGAAGGAAACTACTGTTTTTCTAGTCGCACTGGGAAACATCCACTTGCCAGGTCAGAGCTCTCATGCTGACAGTATGCTGGGAAGAGAGTTGCCTAAATTTTAATTTCCAGGACGCTGGGGGTCACAGTGATGAGCCAAGCCGTGCTGGGGATGGCACATACGGCTGTGAATGGAGCTGAAGCCTGGATCGAACAGTAGGATTTTCTTCAATTGAAGTTTGGAAGAGGTGCAGCTCAAGTTGCAGGAGCTCCCTATGGAAGGGGGAATAATTCTCACCAGAGACCTCCTTCCTTTGAAAAATGCCCTTGAACAAATTGCTTTTGGGAAAGTGATGCCACAGTAAATGTCCCCTACTGTGTTTGCTGAGTCTCTGCTTGTGTTGGTGGTTGTTGGCCGTACAGCTGCTCCGTCAGGCTCCTTCTGTCAACAGTGCTTACACAAGCTTTTCTTTGGTAGAAAAAGAAAAAAAGAGCTGACATTGTCTTTATGCTCATCATTAACATACAGGTTCCTGATACAGGTGAACTGTGGTGGAGCTACATTATACTAATAGTAAGTCCCTCAATAACTTCTGCTAGGCAGAACTTGATTTCAGGTCCTGCCTTGGTTCTCACTTCCCAGCACAAAGCAGCAAGATGCAGGGAATGTTACCAGAACCTCTGAAAATTAAAATACAGTGAACTCGTGCCATTTTATTGCTGAAAACTTAATGTACAGGCAGATTATAATTAAAAGCATGAAGAGTTCATGCATTAATTCAGGCCTGTTATGCTCCCTCTCCCCTCCACACACTGTGGTCTGGATGTAGTTATTTAGGAGCAAGAACGCCAGATAATAGTCATTTGACGTAAGAAAATCCACACAGGGAATTGATCAAGAATAGACGGCAGAAGCGTGAATTTGTTTTCTTTCCGTCCCCTCCATTGAGCAATTACACCACATCCTGGACAAACCATTAATCCATAGTCCTGGCGTTGCAATGTGAAGGGATGGTTCCCTCCAGGCTATGGGGCCCTGGGTCAGCTCAGGCTTCTTTGCAAAATTGGGGACTAAACCCATGAAAACCGCAATCCTGTACGAAAAGCAGATGAGCTGCTTTGCAGGTGGCCCTTCCATGCCACCAAAATGTGCAGTGGGCAATGCCCGTTGTTATGTTAGTCTTCTCAAAGCTCTGCCACAGCTGGTGATCCGTCAAGATTACCTAGGAGCATTCCCAAATACAGCAAGTCAGAGCATGAGCGTCTACCCGTGCGAGAGGTTTTCCCCATTCCTCTACCTATCCTATGGATAATAAACTTATCTATAGGGCCCATAGGTGTGCCTAGCTCTTCACAGGTATTTAAAGATAGGCAAGCATTAACTTGCGAATCTCATTGCGGCAAGGTAGCTTAATTAACATAGGTTTGTAAAACACTGATGATAAGCCGCCCACAGACATGCGCCACATATTACCGATATCTGTTTAGACCCCTCTCAAAAAAACCCAAACCAACAAAACCCCACTCTCATCTGCTGAATGAAAAGCTGCTACCTGGAGACCTTTTTTCGCCACCGCCAGCTCAGCTGAACACAATAGACGTAGTTATCTATGAAAAGGACCATTAAACACTCAAATGGCTGATAAACATGAAATCACATTTGGGCTGGGAGGGGCACAGTTCTTCCAGCCAGTGAAAAAAAAATAAAAATCTGCAAAGGAATTAATTACTTCTGGGTGCCAGGCACAGGTATTGAAAAGAACAAAGTTTCCCAGTCCTTGCAGAGTCTGTAGAGGCATTTCTAGCAGCGCACAGGGGATGTGAAGTCGCACTAAATCAGAGCGGAAGGATTTTACAGCTTCTGGCTCTCCTATTCGACTGATCGCACCAGGCGCTGAACAGGATTACGGGGTGTGCATGTATTTCTGTGAGCAGGGAGCTGAGGAGATCACCCGCTGGATTAATGCCTCTCTGGAAAGTTTTCTCTATTTCCCAGCAGATTTGGTTTTAACAAGTCTGCAAAAATTGCGCGCACAGTGTGTGCTGGGGCTGGCGGGGCGGGGGGGGGTAGGTGGAGGAGGAAATAACTGCTGAATTAGAAAGCAGAAAAAACAGAAAATAGAAAAAGTAAGAGCAAGAATGAAGTCTCTTATGTTGTTATCCCCTCTCCCCAGGGGGGATCTCAGCTTTGAAGGAGGTCTTTTCCTGAGTGGTCTTCCCTGGAAACTTCACCCACATCTAGAAAAACCTCATCATTCCCCCCACCTATTCAACACAAGCTCTCGTAGCATCACGGCTGGTTTGTATTTTTGCCAAGGGTGCCCTGTCACCACTAACAGTCTTTTCCAGCCAAAGATAAATAGGAGGAGCAGCCACATATTGTCTGGACTCTGGCTGCTTGGTGTTGGGACCACAAAAAATAAACCCCAAAAAACCATCACCCTATAAACAAACTCACTGCCCTGTGTTTAACTATGGATACCTGCACGTACAGGAGGAGTGGCTGTAGTAGCATCACGGCCTGCCTTCTCCTGAGCCGGGGAATCAGACTGAGACACGACAAAGCAAACCACGGGCAGAAAACTCCAGTTTGGGGGGGGGTTGCAGGGGTTTAACCCCATCCCGGGCATCAGCTTTGCCAAACCGTAACATGACGGGCAGTAAACTGCAGGGAAAGCCCTGCCAGGTGGATGCTGACCAGACGGAGGGCCAACGCGCTCCTCCTGCTTTGGAAGGGGCCAGCGAGGAAAGCCGGGCCACGGCGGGCTCTCACCTCCCTTCCACCCCACGCAGCCCCCGGTCAGGCCCTCCACCCGGGTGCCCCCCGCCCAGGCGTGAAGGCGGGCAGGGGTGGTCTGTCAGGGACGCCCTACCTTCTGTGCCTGCTGGATCATGTCCCGCACCACCTCCTTCAGGTGGGGCGCGCTCTCCTCCTTGCGGGGGTGCGTGAAGAGGGCCACCC